TTACAGAGCTTTGCTTTTATTCTGACCTTGCCCTTAAGGAGCTTACAATCTAGTGGACAAACAGACGGAGGAACACAGATGTAATGAGTGAACAGACTTTAGACTGAAAAATTACCATAAATCTAAAACATACTGTAAAATGAAGGTTAATGGGGATGGCAAGGATGGCAAACAGTCCTGGATGTTTTCCTGATATCTTGAAGGAAAGAAATCACTATAATATTCAAGGGGCACAGAATGGAAAAAAAAATTCTGATTGCAAACAAAACTATGCTGCTCTCGTTCCTTACTCCCTGCAGCTGGGGAGGATCACAGAATGAGTATGGGGATGGAGATTATGGGCAAACTTTGCTGTACTTTTAGCACCTCTATTACAAGCTACTATTTAAGGTAACAGTTGCCTTAGACAATACTGAACCGGTTTAAAGGGGAGGAAGGAAGGGAGAATATGAGTTTATCTGCATCAGTTCTATATACACAAATAACAGTTAACCTTAACTAAGAATATTAAGATAACCAAAACTATTACTAAAGACCACTGAACTGGACATAACAATACAGATGTAGCAGAATTAATTGCTAGTTTGAGAGTGCATCCTGAACATTGTACTGGGAAACACTAGATTTGTAGAATATACCTATTTATGGAGGCAACACATTGCAAATATAAACTGAAAAGATTGGAGATAGAAAATACCCACAAAAGTTTTATGCTGGGTTGAACAGGGGTTCAATCAAGAAACAAGTAGTATGGTGATATTGTTGGAGAGGGAAGAAGGTCATTATTGATGCCCACACAATTATGAGTCAAAATGTTTTTCTTTTTGAAAGAAAAATACCATTTAGCAGAGCCCTAGAGCTGGATAGTATCACTTCACTAAAGAGTTAAAAAGGTAGACTGAAGATGTAGCTCAGAGGTATTGTGTGCACAAGGCCCTGAGTTTAATCCCCAGCACTGAAAGAAAAATAAAGAAGGTAACACAAGATGAGGGAAGGGTGGCTCAAAGGGCTCAAAACTCAGAGAAATAGAACACTGAGGGAATTTTCTGGAAGGCAAGCAACTAGAGATTGTACCACAAAAGCCATGTAGATTTAAGATCATTAGAAAATTTTAACAGTTGTTTCAAAGAATACAAACAGGCTAGAGAAAATCTTGGGTAAAATTAAAATAGCCACAGTTCAGGAGTTCATTAGTTATTACTAGGATTGAGAGTCTCCCAGGGCTCCACGTGTTGAAATTTAATTCCCATTATGAGGTATTAAGAGGGTGAAGACTTCTCAACTATGTTTAGAGTTGAAGTCTTTGGGGATTTTTTAAGATTAGACAAAGTCGTCACAGTGGAGTCGTGATTGAATTCTTGTAGTGTGAGAAGCCAGGTAGACACACATATACACACATGCAATACTCTTGGTATGAGATACTCTGGATCACCAGGACTCTTTCAGCAAGACCACCATCACCAGATGAGGTCCCTTGAGCTTGGACTGGAACTGTGAGTCAAAATAATTAATTCTTTAAAACTTATCCTGTTTTAAGGTATTCAATTATCAACAGAAAAACAGACTATTACAACCTTTTGATCAGAAATAAAATATGATCAGGGAAACTAGAATTCATGCTTGAAGAATAACAAATAAAAATGTAAGTAGTAAAAGGTATAAAAATTTCCTTTCCAAAGAACACTGGAAGAAATGATGGTCTGTAATAGCAAAGAAACCTTGAATAGGCAGCACATTTAAATACAAAAGATGAAATTTGTGAGATTAGGACATAGAATATAAGTGATAAGGGAATGCAGCAGTCCTCTGGTGAGACGTAGATTTGAGAGTATATAGGAACATTTTTCTTCACACTTAGCTACTCAAAGTGTGTAGCTGTCAATCAATTTTATAAATACAGTTTGGTATGGACATTCCAAATCAAACTCCCATTACTTAAAGGTCTACATTTATTTAGGCCTATTAGAAATGAAGATTATTGCTAGGTTTAATTTTTAAAGAAGTTTTTATTTTGCCTTGTCCTTAACTATTTTTATTTTTTATGTTGTACTGAGGATCAAACCCAGTGCCTCACACATGCTAGGCAAGCGCTCCACCATTGAGCCCCAGCCCCGTCCGTGACTATTTAATAACAAAATGAGTTGCTTCTAATCACACTGATGTTTCACAAATAATTTTTTCCAACTTTATTAACTAAAAAATCAACTTGTATTATGGAGCCAGGTGCAGTGGCGTGTGCCTACAGTTCCAACTACTGGGGAGGCCAAGGAAGGAGAATCACTTGAGCTAAGTTAGAGACCAGCCTGAACAAGACACTATCTCCGCCGCGCCCCCCCCTGCCCCCAAAAGCACTTTGGTCATCAGTTTATGTCTTGATTTGACCTAAAGCATCAACTTTTTTCATTACTGTGATTGTTTTTAAATTATATTTTTAGATGTTGATGGACCTTTACTCATTTATTTGTATTGCGGTGCCGAGAATCAAACCCAGTACTTCACACATGCTAGGAAAGTGCTCCACCACTGAGGCACAAGCCCAGCCCTTATTATTGTGATTTTTTTTTAAAAAAAGTTTTTTGTATTTCTTTTTTGGTGGCGTTGGGGATCAAACCTAGGACTTTGTACATGCTTGGCAAGCACTCTATTCCTGAGATACATCCCTAATCCTAACAAAACAAAACAAAATTTAATTAATGTGCTTATCTAAAAAGTTTTAAGTCCCCCTACCTCCTAAAATGTTCAAAACAATAAACTTGGGAATACTAGATCAGGTGTCTGTCTGGGCAAACTCTTTCCCTTCTCTCATATTAAATTTGATGACATATAATAGATTTTTCCAATGAGTAAATAATCAATAAGTGAAAATTATTTAGGAATACTCAGATAGCTAGACCTTTAAAAAGTCAATAATAATTCTAACTGAAGTTTCATACACAAAAAGGTAAACTCCAGGTAATTGTCTTTGATTAAAGCTAAGTAGACCAGTTTATATACAAAACAAGACAGGAAGATGCAAAAACATTTTTTTGCCTTTGGTTCACAAACTTAAATAAATTGAGATTAGTTGTAAATTAATTGGAAGAATCACTGCATGGTATGGTAACAGAGATCTGGGCCTCACTGGCCCTTAAGAGCTGTATGGTCTTGGCCAATCAACTTTTAATTTCAAACTCAATTGTTTGAGGGGGAGTGTTGGGACAGATTACTTGTACTCTGTAATTCACAGACTCCTACAATTCTCTAATAAAACTATATGGAAACTGCATGTGTGTGTGCACTTTTGATGTAAATAGTCCAGTTTCCCTTAGGTTCTCATAGGAGATCTTGACCCCCAAATGGGCTTGCAGTGTAAGAGAATAATCACTTCTAATATAAGTTCCAAAAACTTGTATTCCTTCATGATATGTAGAACTCTACAAAGGCTGAGGCTTCCTTGATATGCAAACACTGTGTAACTCCTTGAGTGTGGCAGGTTATGTAAATATAATGGATACAACTAACCCCTATGATAGAACTAGAATATGGACAAAGGTGAAGGGATTTGGCGGTGTAATTAAGGCTCTAAGTTAACCAAAAGGGACAGGAGAGGGATTTGAGCTAATCAGGTGGGACCTGTGAAAGAAGGTTTGGGTCTTCCTCAAGATCAGAGATTCTCTTGCTAGCTGTAAAGAAGCATGTGGCCATGAACTCTAGAAGTGCAAGGAAATAAATTCTGTCCTAAAGGTATAGAAGACGGCCCCCAGCTTCAGAAGCTGACTGGTTGACTGTAGCCTTGTGAGGCCCTAAACAGAGAATTGTAACTAGACTCTTGACTCACAACTGAAATAATACATGTCATGTTTTAAGCCACTAAGTTTGAGGTAATTTGTTATATAGCAATCAGTCTTAAAAGCCAACTTAGCTTAATTTTTGCAACTTCTCCTGAGGGAACTAAAGCAATGGAGTCTTAGAAAAGGCTGTCCCAAGTTACACTGAGGTTACAACAAACAGTCATTTTACAATGCCTTAAACAAACAAACAGCCTCAACCTATGAATTGTAGTCAAGGAAAGCTCAAACTAAACAATACCCTACTCCCCCAAATTCTTCCACATGCACTTTTAATGATTAGATTGCTTCAATTATAGAAATGCTCTAGGTTTGGTCCAGAGCAATGAGGAAAGTACTAATACCACTATATCAAACATTACTAAAAATCTTTGAAAACTACCATGGCTTTTCATACACCTTAATATAACATTCTTTTTAAAAATTGTAGCACTGAAGAGGGCTCAGTGCTTAGATAAGGCAGTTTAAGAAATGAAAAGTCAAGAACATTTAGGCTTGTGGGGCTTATTATTCCATCCTCCCCACCCCCGAGCAGATGTTAGCAGACTGTGTTAAAAAAAAATCCATTTCCTAGATTGCTGGATTATTAAAAAAAAAAAAAAAGTTGTGTTTAAATCTGTAACTCTGGTACTCTAATGATCTGTACTGAAAAATTTCAGACAGAAAAAACCTACTTAAGAATTTCATTAGAAAATGAATGTCTTATAGTTAGAAATATTTAGAACATCAGGAAGACCTTGGAATAATTAAAGATATATATTCTATAAAATAAATTAGCCTATTACCAGCTCATTGGCTTTGAACTACACTACTTCCTAAAAGACAAGAATTATGCAAAGTATTCTTATGTTCACCTTCCAGTAATAAGTCTTCTATTAAAAAAAAGCTTTGTATGCAATTTGTAGCCTTATTTGAAGTTATGTTAATACTTAAAATAAAGCTCAAGTTGTCTGTTTGTCTTGGAGTGAAGAAGGCCAAAACCTTGGTTTTAATAGGAAGAAAGCATAATTATAGTGTCCAGACTGAAATTACAGAACTTATGAAACTTGTTACGTTGGTTATGGTTCAAAAAGTTGAAGAAAGACAAGAACTAATAGGAGCCAGTGAGTTACACACTTTAACTCAACAGTAATATTTAAAAAAAAAAAAAAATCCACACATCACGCACACACCCCATGTAAAACATTGCTTTAAGTTTTAATGTTTATTTCCCCAAGACAGCCTAGCCTGCACTCTACTTGGATAAATTTTACAAGCTAGTTTTCTGCTGCTTCTAGTTTTAAACTTTAACCATGTTTCTGATGACAAGGAATGCTGCAAAAATACTCTAGTTCAACAAAGAGTTATGATCACAAAATAATTTTTATCCATTCTACAGTGTTTCAGAATTACCAGTTGATTTTTAAACACAAAGTAGATATAGATGCTAATGGTGGCTAATCTGGTATGTTTCTTATAGCAAACTGTTGTTCATGCAACACTTGTGCTCAAAGGGGAAGGCACAGGATTTCCTACAATGAGCCACCTTATAAAGAGTTCTGTTTGTACAAATTAATTTATGTCACATTTAATTTAGTGTGCATAACCTCAAAACTGAGGCATTATTCCAATTTATAAAAACCACTTGCATAACTTTTATGCAAGTTTTAAAAATACAAAGTTTTCTCCCTAAAGTGGCTCAAAATAGATTGTTCATGGCTGCCTACATCTAAGATAAAAAGATTCTAAAACAATTGAACAGATTAGGCATATTATTAAAGGTGTTCAAACTATTACTTGATTTGTACATCTACTCAAACCTCTTCATCGGTCTTTATTCAGCAGTACATATGCACCAAATTCCATTTTAGAAGTTTCCATATCATTTTCATAGAAAACAAAATTTGAAAACAAGTAACATTTAAACACAGCACGGTATTCTATCACAACTGAAACTTTTTTCTTCTTCTTCTTTACAGGACTCAACAAAATCTAAAAATGAACTATGCTGTAGATTTACCTCATGCAAAGGTCTTTATGTTATCTCTGAAAATGAAAAGAACGGCCTTTTAAGCACATTTTACTGTTTTATACTATTATGGTAACTTGTGTACTGCAACAGTCTATTTTGAGGGAAATTTATGATTTTTTTACATGCAAAAATCTACACAAATTAGTTTTGATGATATGGAAAGCTTTTCATAGCATCAAACATTCATCTGGTGCAAATGCACAGGGAAACCTTCCTGAAAAGTTTTCTGACTTGAGAAGCAACTAAAAGAGCCATACTAGGTAAATAAAAATGGGGGGGGGGATGACAAAAAAAAAAAATGGGGTGAGGGTTTTGGGGGAGAGGGGAAATAGAAAACACAGGCTGCAGAATAAACCAATGTCTGCTGCTAAACCGGTCTTTGTTTTTATGTCCAGTGTACATTAACACTTGTGATCTCACTTTGATGATTTACTATGTTTGTTATCAGCCCCCCGAAGGCGAATCAAGCTTGCATGCGTTCACATACAGCACCACAACCACACTCTCGTACACAGTCACTCCAGGACTAGGAGTCTGCTTCATGAGTGAAGAGCCCTAGATTTGAAAGATGAACCTGGCTCTCTATCACTGAGCCAGACATTCATTCAACATTGTCCATTCACACACTGCTTTATAGCAAGGCCTGGGCTCATTTTCCTTGACTTATATGGGCACTCTATTCTCTTTTATGCTTACAAGGCTTGAAGATGACAGTATTTCACTTTCCCCTCAATTGATATAGAGTAAGTCAATGTTCCTTCTCAGGCACTGAAGATCTGTGACCCGTAGCCCTTTTTACTTTGAACAACCTAAATAAGCATCCACGTAAAGTTTTCATTACATTTTGCCACTCATTCTCACTCGCACCCACTCGCCATCTTGACCTCATTTGGGCATTTCCTGTGATTCCAAATGAAATCTTCACATTTTCTTTCCCGATTTAATGCAGCAGCAGATCCCATGAGCCAAGCTTGATGGATCAAACCTTTTTATATATATGTATATATATATATATATCTGAGTGCTGCATTGTACCTAACTTCCACAATATCTTTCTAAAACTGGAACCCTTCTGTTGGTACATTGGCTGATGAATTGAAACCAAATGTTCCACCTTGAATTGCCTCTGGAACAAGGCTGGGATCTTCATCAATCTAGGGGGGGAAAAAAATTAGTTTTAGTTTTAAAGTAGACAAAAGAAGCATTAGAGTAACTGTTTTACTACCCTTAACAATGGTATAAGAACTAGGTGATGAGTGCCAGCAATGTGCTACCATCCTTTGGAAAGTTGAAACACTTTACAATGTAAAGTCTTTTTCTTTCCTTTCAAAGCCACCACTTTTGGAAAGTAAGTGTATTATTTGGTTAATTCCCCCCCACCCTCCCATCTTTTGGGTACTAGAAATTGAACTCAGGGATTTGTACATGCTAAGCATGTATTCTAACAGTGAGTTTTACTCCTAGCCCCTAGTTAATCTTTTAATACAACTAGGGACATATAGCCTCAAAACAGTAAAACAAGAGCTTGCTAATAGTGGCTAATATTTTATATGCTTTATACTATATTTGTTTTTAAATTCCACAAAATTACAAACCTAGGGTGTGGCTTTTATAACCATGTACGTAAGTTAAATTATTTTTTTCACAATGTAAGAGAGTAAAAAAGATATTAGAAAACATAGGCCTTGTCACCTTACTGAAATTAGTCACCTAACTACAAATTAGTACATCTAAAATCCCAACTTTAAGATACATGATTAAAGCTACCTGTAAGAGCATGTTTTTCTTGGATTTTATTTCTGATTTAACTGGGCATCATTAATCTAAATAGGCTTTAGTGTGAACATCTCTAAGTAAACAGTCTATAATTTCCTTTTCTACAAATTTTCTACCACATTGTGATTAATGTTCAAATATCAACAGAAAGGTTTAGTAGCTTTTTATTTTTTGGGTAGGGGTAGGGATTGAACTCAGGGCCTCCCACATGCTAGGCAAATGCTCTACCACTGAGGTACATCTCCAACCCCTATTGTCCTCTTTTAAAGACTTATTCTTTGAAAAGTTGAAAAAATCATCCAAGAAATCCACTGTTGGTTGTATTTAACCACTCTATTTTTTTAAAGGAGAAACTACTTTAATTTTAGATTTACTCTTTCAAAGAGGCAATAAAAATAATTTCTTAACTCCAATTACTATAAGGTTTCAGTCTGAAGAAATTTTTGTATATCATACTTTATACTATATAATGCCTTATCTTTTTTGGTGATTTTCATTTGATCTATTATCCTCACATTTGGTTTTAGTCACCAAATAAAAATGACAACATATGTAAATGTGTATTAACTAATTGCTATTATAAAGGATATACTAGTGACTCACTCAGTGTTATTAGAAATTTAAAAATACTGAAATATTTGTTAAGCAAGTGACATCACAGTCACATACCTATTTTAATTTAACTGCAGAAAGGACATACATGCATATGCCTCTAGCTTACTATATACTATTTTGTTCAGAATTATTATGTTTTAACATAAAACTAAGAAAACTACAAAATTATTAAATACATCATCTGAAGAGAAGAATTGATCAATGATCTCATAGGCCAATTTGTAGATGTCTTCATTTTCATGATTTTGAAGTTGTTCGATTTTCTCCAGTCCTGCAAGAGATTTTATGAAGTGAAACAATAATAATATTAAAAAAAATAGTGACAGGTTACAATAATCTTGAATGTATAACCCAATTTTTGTATTGCAAAATTTTTGGATTATAATTTTTGAGACGCTATAGGTAAATCTTAAATATAAAAAGATTTAATTCAGGAAAATAGGCATATTTATTTTAAAAAGATTAACAATCTTAGTGTCTAATATCATGTAAATTATGATAAGAAACAATGGGACATCTATTTATAAAGCAAAATAATAGGTAACCAATGCTTATAAAGAACAATAACATGTAAAATTGCTTTTGTTAAAAATAAAAAAGCAAAATTCCTGTTTTCTAACATCTGCCAAGTTTTTCTAATGGACTAAAAAGAAACTGAAGATACTGGCAATTAACAAATTTGATCCATAAGACAGCTATTAAGCATACTTAAACATGAAAAAAAGAGAACAATCACAATATTTCAGGGGAAAAGGGATTTTCCCTGTAAACATTAATAAATTTATTACATCAGAGGCAGAAACTTGTTGATATGCAAATTGGATCTTGTTTTATTTTTTAGGAGCAATAATAGTAGACCTATGAAATAAAGTGAAATTGCTCCTTTCACTTATGTTCTTCCTCTATCCATTTCTTAAGTGAACGAAATTACCTCGGGCCCCTATTTCACTCTACACACTTTACTTTTGGTGATCCTTTCATTAAAAAATTTAGCTACTAATTGTGAGTGGAGATTTATAATCATCTGTAGCTTTTGTAGTTTTACTTATTTTCATAACTTTACTAGCACAAAATTCAAATGCCTACAAAATTCTACAAGGACATTTAGGCTCCTAAATCTCAAACTATCTAGAACAGTTTGTTAACTCTCCTTCCTCATTTAAACTATTCATCCTACAATTCTTACTTGTTGATACTCACTAAATAGCTTGAAATCTGAGATCTAAGATTTCCTTTTCCTCAATCAAATATCAAAACTCTGTTCATCCATTTCTAAATTCTGTAATCTCCCCTTTGTCTCTGTTATTATGGCCTTCATTTACTCTGGCCTGAACAGTATATGCTTTCCTAATTGGTCTGCCTTCTGTCTCCAAAGGCTCCATTCCTCAGTTATTTAAGCACCAATCCTCTAGGAAAATCCTCCAATGGCCTATCATATCCTATGGCAAAATCCTTTGGGAAGTTTATAAAACATATTTCTATTTCATATCTCCAGTGAGGGAGGCAATATTTGAGAATCAATCAATATCTACATATAAAATACCTGTTGTTCATTTTACTAATTCTTATTCCCTAATTAGTTCCTAATATCATTCTCCATTTTCCTATTCCTAACTGGATGGTTATACATTATTTGTTGTTATTCCAATTGTCACTTTAGTAACTTCAAACATGCTTTATTTCAAGTCTTGATTCCTCCACTTAGTTGATATGGGTTCTCTCATTCTCGTTGTTACCTCTCCTTTCATTCACTTTTCAGCTTCTGTCAGAAATACCTTTACTTTTATGATTATTCAAGTTGGAAACATTTATTTTCTGTTCCATAGCCACATTTTGGACTCCGGTATTCTGCCTATATATGAACTCTGAGATTGAAATCTAATGTGTTGTTTACACTCTAGATGACTTTGGTGCACAGCCAGAATGGTAACTACTGCCTTACTGAATAAAGTATCTGCTGTGCTATGAAACTTCAAAGGAGTTTGGTTATTGGCTATTTCTCCAGCTTCATCTCTTGGCAGTTTCTACCCCATACTTTGTGATTCAGCAACACTGAACTACTTATAATTTGCTGAATGCTATTTCTCACCTCAGACTTTGCTCATGGTGTTATCTCTGCCTGGAACACCTTTCATCCCTTTTTACTTTATTAATCCTTATTCATCTCTCAAAATCCAGCTCAGATGTCACTTCCTGCTTCTTCCAGGATGGATTAGGTATCCCATTTTGCTGTACATTTCTATTAGGGTAATTAGCACATTAAATCAGTTCATATTTATCTTCAAAACTAGACTACATGCCTGAGGGCACGGACTGTGTTTTGTTTACCACGGTCTTTCCAATACTTTTAGCACAGGGCCTGTTCAATATAAGGCAACAATTCAGTTACCTAAACACATGCAAGAGGCTGAGCAGGACTATATATAGAATATAGCATTTTATTAATTTATTCTGTTACTTGATTAATCTAAGACAGAAAATTACAGAAGTGGTATATTAGTCAGAAAATAAAGATAGTTACCAAAAAAAAAAAAAAATTAGAATGTGGAATAATAGCTAATAAAGAACTTACCTCCACATTCTTCTATAAGATTGGCTATGGTTTCTGCCTCATCTTCAGCCATTTTTAATATATTACTTAATCCATCGAGTACTACTTGCACAACCTGTGCATCTTTTACAGTCAGTAAGTTGCAAAAAGGTGGGATAACATTTTGTTGAATAAGGTAGGCCACCTAAAGAATAAAAAAAAAAACATGAAAAAATAAAATGTAGGCAAAATCTGTATATCAAGATGTTTTAACAGAATGCTTTTCACTTTGAAATTTTGAGTACGGACACACATGACTTCATCTCTAGGACATAGTTAAAACTTCATTATTAACTTGATTTTCCTTTCTTTTTAAAGTAGCAAGTTTGTTTTTCTTGAATTTAAGAGGAGGGGGAACTGAAATGAAAATGAAGGAATCACTCAACTTATTATTAAACATTTCTTTGCTTTAAGGAGTACTTCCTTTGAAAATCATTTCCTCTTTAAAAGTAAGAAAGTAAGCTGGGCATGGCAATGTATAACTATATTCCCAGCAATGTGGGAGGCTGAGATAGGAGGATCACAAGTTCGAGATCAGCCTCAGCAACCTAGCGAGGCCCTCAGTAACTTAGTAAACCCTGTCTCAAAAAATAGAAAAGGCAGACAATGTGTCTCAGTGATAATGTAGCCCTGGAATCCCCAGCTTTTAAGTTTTAAACCCTATGCACCTCATGTTTCTCACCCTAGTTCCTAGTCTCAGCCATCTAGTAAAGTTTAATTTCTAACTGCTGAGTAGTTTGTTGTTGCTGATGATTTTTAAAATTTTTGCTCCTGATGTTCATTTGTTAGGAGAATCTATGAGACAATTTTTTTCTGCCATATTCACCACTCCAAAATCTGTTCTTAGTACTGTTAAAAAAACAACACAACCCTAATTTTAGGCCCCTTGATTTTATTATAGGTTAGAAATTCTTTCAAGATTCCTGGGGATTTCGCACAGTGGTAGAGAATTTACTGGCCTACAAAAGGCTCTAGGTTCAATCCCTAGCTCCTGGACAGGTAGGGAAAAAAAAAAAATCCCCTCTCTTTTTTGATTAAAAAAGGTCAAAGAGTGGGGGCTGGGGTTGTGGCTCAGTGGTATAGTGCTTGCCTAGCATTCATGAGGCACTGGGCTCGATCCTCAGCACCACATAAAAATGAAATAAAAATACTGTGTCCACCTACAACTAAAATATATATTAAAAAAAAAGTCAAAGGATGATATTCTATATGAAAAAAAAATCATAGAAAAGTGGCTGGAAGTATATAGCTCAGCAGTAGAGCAAATTCTTAGCATGTATAAAGTCCTGGGTTCAATCCCCAGTAATATCCCCACACACCCCTCCTACCCCCTGTCCCCCAAAATCACATAATAGTTATCTTGCTATTATTTTAAATTATGGTTTACTTATATCTAAATCATATAATCTGTTTGTACTGTTTTTTTTTTTTAACACCACTTTTAAGAAATAAGTAAAAGTTAAACTTACTTGATCTTTCCTTCCACTAATTGTTAAGTTACTTATGGCCCAAGCAGCTTCTTTCTGAGTGCCAAAATCCCCCTAAAAAAATAAAAACAAAGCAAAAGGCTACTGTCGGCAACATAAGGATAACTAAAAAGAATGTTTTCTGGAATGATTTTTCAAGTGCTTATTTCTCCAGGTTTCCTTCTAGCTTTTCTACATACATATATATTTTTACTTACTAAGATAAGATTTATAACACCCAATATACCCTGAACAAAGGAATTTTCTTTTTGGAAACTCTCCTGAAAACAATTTGACTTAATGTTACTATTCAATGCTATCACATCAAAATCAGTAAAGAAAATTTTGGAAAAATCTGTAACTTCATTACAAAAATACAAATTGAAAAAATATTTAAAAATAACTTAAAAAGATGTGTATATATATTTGTTTATATAAATAACTTAAAAAAGATACACATGCATATGCAAATATTTCTGAATATTTATACATATATGTGCTTTTTGAAACAATTTATATAATGAGATCTATATCTTTATAATCTCATCTTTTAGAATTTACCAAGAAAATATGGGAATTGCACAGCCAAAAAATAAAATCAACTGAAATCTTTATAATAGGAATATAACTAATTACAGATACCTAACTAAATGAGCAGTACTAAATGAGGTTAAGAAAATCCAAGTATTTGTCAGTGAAGTTGGTGGGAGTACAAAAAGGCACAATCCTCAAAGAGGGGGAATTGACACTATAACAAAATTTACAAATGTTTTTGTATATTTCCAGTAATCCTAAATACAACCTGTGAAAAGGGTAAAAACAAAACAAAACAAACCCCTTACAAGCTATTTGTGAAAGCACCACTATTTTCAACAGCAAAACACTAGAAATATCTCAAATGTCATGCATAATTGATTATGTTACAGTGCATCCATATAATGTACTATGTATAGTACTATATAATAAAAAGAAGAATAAGGGAAATACAAACAGGGAATAAAGAAGCTCTCTTTATAATGTCATGAAAGCGATCTCCAGTGTATGCATGAGTATATGTGTGTGTGTATACATGGATACACACACACACACACACACATTTATATATCATGGTGGCACACTCTATAATTCCAGAGACTTGGAAGGCTGAGACAAGAGGATATATATGGATAACTAGAGAAAATGTTTTCTGGAAAGATTTTTCAAGTGCTTATACACACACACCCACACACACATACATATAAACATACAAGTATCCCGAGGATATGCAGTATATTATTTTCTGTATAAGGGTGGAAATAACCATATACATATCCATTTGCTTCTATTTTAGAAAGAAATAATGGAAGGATAAACCAAAAGTGGGTAAAATGATTATCTAAAGGAAGAAATAAGGGAGGGAGGACTGGAAGTGAAAATCAGACCTCTGAATATGTGCCCTGAAAACAAAAGTATATTTTTAACAAGAAATTAAAAATCAAGGTAACATGCTTATTTAAAAAAAAAAAAAAAAAACCCAAAAAAAACAGGGACTGGAGTTGTAGATCAGTGGCAGAGCACTTGCCTAGCATGTGTGAGGCACTGGGTTCCATCCTCAGCACCACATAAAAATAAACAAATAAAATAAAAGCATTCTGTCCATCTACAACTATAAAAACAATCAATCTGTGTATCCAGTTGGTGGCTTAACCACACTCAGAGGTACACATTAAGTATTTCACTAATGAAATACATCTTTTAGAAATACATCTTTTAAAAGTACATTCAAGGGTTGGGGTTGTGGCTCAGTGGTAGAGTGCTTTCCTAGCATGTGCGAGGACTGGGTTCAATTCTCAGCACCACATATAATTAAATGAATAAAATAAAGATCAATCAACATCTTTAAAAAATTAAAAAAAAAAAAAAAGTACATTCAAAGCCAGGCGCGGTAGCACTTGCCTATAATCCCAGTAGCTTGGGAGGCGGAGGCAGGAGGATCACAAATACAAAGCCAGCCTCAGCAAAAGCAAGGCACTAAACTAAGAAACTCCAATGAGACCCTGTCCCCCACATACACCCCCACCCCCCAAAAGAAACAACAAAATAGGGCTGGGGATATGGTGCAATGGTCAAGTATCCCTGAGTTCAATCCCCTATATCCCCTGACCCAAAAGTACATTCAGTAGTCAACCCTCAGTAGTCATGTTGTTATGGCAATGTGACTTGTTATTTTGATACTATAAATATATTTTACATCTCTTCCTTAGGCTGAAAACAATTTTTTATCCATAAGATATATACCATCAATGGTATGCCTCAAAATATGTATAACTGTACTGTATATAAAAGATAACCCTATAATATTTGATAGCTTCCTTTCATGATTCATTTCTTCAGAATTCTCATATTTGGGAGAATTAACAAGACCCTAAACAACTTATTAAGACCCTGTCTCAAAATAAAAAAATAAAAAAGACTGGGAATGAGACTCAATGGTAAAGCACACCTGGGTTCAATCCTCAGTCCCTTCCCCCACCTCAAAAATGAATTCTTATAATGGAAGGGAAAGGAAGGGAAACCAGTTGAGTAGAGGAAGCGGACCAGGGAGAAGGAAATGGTAAGGGGAAAGGGAAGAACTGGGAAATGAAACTGACCAAATTATATCATATGCATGCAGGAATATGTCACAATGAATCCCATTAGTATGTGTAATTATAATATACCAATAAATCAATGAATACATAACTTGCTAAAAAAGCTCTCATGATCATCAACTCATCTGTCAAAAATATTACCTATTGCTCACTCCAAAATATAGTCCGTATGGGACAAGCACGATAAATCCTTAAAGCTTAATTCTTTTTTCCTATCAGTCATTTTTTACACCTTATAACATGAATACAAAAATACCTATCACTTATTTTATTTACTGAAGCCGACAAAAAATTACACCCTTGCCAGGCTCAGTGGCACATGCCTGTAATCTCAATGGCTAGGGAGGCTGAGACAGGAGGATAGTTAGTTCATAGTTAGCCTCAGCTAAAGTGAGGTGTTAAGCAACTCAGTGAGACCCTGTCTCTAAATAAAATACAAAAAAGATTAGGGATGTGGCCCTGAGTTAAATTCCCCGGTACAAAAAAAAAAAAAAAGAATGACATCCTTGTAAAAATACTCATCTTTATGTCGGAAGAATCAAGGCATCCTGGAGGAATAGTTTATTCTAGATCCAGGTCAGAAAATGCAAAAGATAATCCTAGGAATCATATCTAAAAGGTAGAGTATTTAAGAGACAGGTACTAACTTTAAGATAAAGTTCCAAATGGCCAGGGATAACTTGGGTGTCAAAAGGAATAACATTTAAAATGGACTAAAACTTATAAAATAAGAACTCAATTTCCTAATGATCATAAAATTTTCACTCTGGTCTCCTTTTGAGGTTTTAGGGAACCATGTGATAAAGTGTAAAAAATGACTGACAGAAAAAAAGAATTACGCATTAAGCATTTATCATGCTTTTCCCATACAGACTATATTTTGGAGTGATAAAAGCTCTTCACTACTGAAGAATCATGGCTAATATATTCTTTGACAAAATTAGAAAGCCACCATTTTGCAACTCCTAGTAAAATAGGGGATTCCAGGCAATGATGATCAATAACTACCTAAAAATCATTAGGAGAAAGACTCATGAATAATGTCACAAGTAAGCTTAGAGTAAGCTGATTATACCAGGTCATATACATAGACAGATGTATCTTCATTTTAATTATAGAATTAACACTTTGTTTAATTAGTGATCAGACAAAAACTCTCATGCTGTGATTCTATAATTGTAAATTCTGTTTTCCCCAAATATTAATATGAACATGAGATGATAACAATATCACACTTACTTGCTATTTAATTCTGGGCATTTTATAGCACAGGTCCTTCATCTATTAGGGTGAATACCCAACTTTTTTGGGAAGAAAAAATACAGAAGGGCCAGAGGTTTCCAAGAAGAAATGAATCATATTAAAAACTGCTGGATTCAAAAGCTTCAATATGAACACTATTTTACCTGAAATATTAGCATCACTATAGGATCTAATCAAATAAACAAAGAAAAAAAAGTATATATTTAGGGACTGGAGGTATGTCTTAGTGGTAGAGCACCTGCCTAATGTGTGAGGCTCTGGTTTGATTCCCAGCATCATAAAACAAACAAGTTAAAAAAAAAAAAAAAGGAAGATTACCTCTAGATAGGGAATAGGGGTGGGAGGGAAAGGAAGAGGGAAGGGGAATAGCATGGATGGTGGAAGGAGACCCTCATCATTATACAGAATACATGTATGAAGATGTGAATTTAGTGTTAACATACCTTATATACAATCAGAGATATGATAAATTGTGGTATAAAGGTGTATTAAGAATTGCAATGCAAAAATAAATAAAAAATAAAGCAGACTATATATATTATATATATGTAAAATCCTTTCCCCTTATTTAGATAAGTACAATATGATCTTCTTACCTTATCCAAAAGGTGTATTATCATTGGTACAAGATTGGCATCAATTACTGCCTGTACCTGCTGTTGATTTCCTGCAGTGATGTTAGAGAGGAACCACACTGCTTCCTGTAGAAGAAGATCCTTTCAATATTTCTCATTAAAATATAAAATCTGTATCTGAACTAAGAAAAAAAGCATTTGTACCGTGTCCAAATGATTTTACTACTGAGTAAACTCTATAATAAAAATCTTGGGAATTTCAATTCTTCCCCCTTTCCATATATTCTTTGAACAAATAGCTAATGGCCCCTAATCCAAATCACAATGAACTAACCCTTCTAAAGAATTCTCAATGACAATGCTCCCAAAGAGTATGACTCCAAAGAAGCTTGCTTGGTTGGATAAATACCCAAAAAACAATAAGCTGTAAAAGAAATTCAAATTCAAAACTAAAACTTTTATAAATGACATTCAATAGCCTTCTCTCCTGTAATAAGCTTTATTGTCTATTCTACCCTTAGACTCCTAACCAAAGTAGGTATATATCAACTATTCATAACAATGGAGCATCAGAAATAAAACAGTGGGCTGTTTTAGTATATTTTATAATACTCATTCATTTGCACCATTTCTCTGAAAAGCTGAAGTGGACCCAGATGCTTGACTACTTTATTGGTCTACCTTAATGATCTTGTAATGTTATCTTTTATATTACAATGGTGCTATACTTTTGTAAAGGTGATGGTCATTCCAAAGTGCTTTAAAGTTTCAAAGATAATAAATGCAATTACTAAAGACACAGCTGGCATGAAATAAGATAAAATATCTACCTATATGCTATGTAGGATATTATCAGAATTTTCCTAACTTAAATTTATTAAACTTACCTATTTTTTAAAGGAAAACATTTTCTCTATTCCTACAAACTGTTAAAACACATTAGCACTGACTACTATACAATAGGCTCTTTTGGATCAGATCACAGGACCATGTTTAATGAACCTGTTAGAGATTTTAGGGTGCTGGGCTAGTTAGGTGAGCCGCTTTGGGGTTATAATCATTGGCAATGTTGTAAATCAACACCCCTATTATTTCTACAACAGCCTCAGATGCACTCCAATATCAGCATCACCATTCAGTGCCCCCTTTCCATAGCCCAAAACACACACACACACACACACACACAATTAACTACCATAAAATACTAATCTAGAATTAATATATTAAAAATTTTCAGTCATACAACATTCAACACCCAAGTATCTCCATTTCATCATTTCCAAAAGAGCCAAAAAACTCCACAGTGCAAATGTGGGTGTAGCTCAGAGGTGAAGCACATGCTTATGAGCAGATCATGTGAGGCACAGGGTTTAACCCTCAGCACCAAAGAAAAAGAGAACAACAACAACAACAACAAAAAAAAAAAAAAAAAAAAAAAAAAAAAAAGAAAAGAAAAACACTTTGCAACTTGTTTGTTTTATATATGTAAAAATTATATACCCAATTTGTGTTTCTAAAGAGTGATATACTTTCTCTTGATACATACATGACAGTTTAAATTAATAACATTACAGATACTTCTGGGACCCAAATTATATAAATGAAAACTACCAGTTTAATACTATTTTAAAATACTTACTTTATTAATTTTCTCTTTGGGATGTGTCAGGAGTGCTGGAAAGTGTGAGAGGGCATCACAGTTCAAAACTACTTGTGTTTGTTCATCAGTTCCAGTAACAATGTTGCCCACTGCTCTAAGTGCAGCTGTCTGAAATGTAAAAAGATATGTTTATCTTTGAATGCCATGTTTAAAGTAACTAATGGTAAGAAAACATGATTTTATCAAGAACAAACTTACCTGAACTTTAACTTCCTGGTGGCTGAGTAGAGGAACCAAGTGAGGAACTATTCCAGAGTCTATTACCATCTGTATCTGTTCATTGCCAGCATCAGTAAGATAAGAGAGGGCCCAGACCGTATCTACCAATATCTAATAAATAAAATAAAAGTTCCAACAATCTTTGAATACTTTCTCATTGCAGTAATTTTTACCCATACTCCTAAGATTGTTCTACTATTTTCTTCTCTTACCATAATTCATTAGAATCTTTATTGTGCATCATTTAGCCAAATTCAGAAGTGTAGGTCCCAAATCCATGCCAATATCTATTTTTAATTCACCAACCTATATATGTACTACATAGCACATGAAATAGGAAAAAAAATAATTTTCTTTCTCAAATGCTCAGGCTAAGGGATAACAGGCCCACAAATATTGTAGCTTATGTATATAGTTAGAAAGACTATAGGTATCCAACATGCACAATGGTTTAAACATCTATACTATATGGATATACCATACAGGTATACTTAAAGACAATATTAGTATTAGTTTATAGTGGTATTAGTTTTATAGCAGTTTAATCTTCTCCAACTAGTTTGCATTGGCTTATAAAACTGGAGGCAACTTCCTAAATACAGAAAGACCCCAAACAGCAAGCAAAAAAAAAAAAGCTTTACACCAGCTGCTACTTAAAAAAAAAAAAAAATACAATTATTGACCAAAAAAGTAAGAGAAAAATAAAGAAACCACAGGAAAGATAACTGTGCCTGGAACTTTACTTCCAAAATCTTTCTTGAATGTGAACACTGTATCAAAGGATAAGCCAGAAGTTTAAAACTTTTAAGATTACAAACAAATGTTATACTTTAAGACAATCAAGGAGCCCCTAAAAGGAGACAACAGCACTTTGTCATTATTCTTTCAGAAACTCAAGAAAATGCTTAAGGATGTGTTTCAATGTAAAAGAAGACATTCATGAAAATAACTCAAATATACTAGTATCAATATATGTGAAACAACTATTTAAATTTTCAAATGGAACTATTTCTTTTCCTGTAGCGTTAACAGAATCTGTTAATACAGGCCAAAAATTTCAAGTTACTTGCTCATGACTGCACATAAAAACCTGGCATCCTTCCCTTTTTAAAAGTCTAATGCTAAACATGTCATTGATATGCTCGGATCCAACTTACAACCCAATTCAAACTAGATCTCTAACATATTTTTAAAATTTTAATAAAAATAGTTATACATGGACACAATATTTTGTTTGTGGTGCTAAGAATCGAACCCAGAACCTCACACATGCAAGGCAAGCACTCTGCCACTGAGCCACAACCCCCGCCCTCCAACATATATATATTTTTTTTGTATCAAAGTTTACATTCTACCGTAAGTTCTCTAACTGTAACTACAGTGTAATATCAGTGTAATGGCACTGTTTGTGAAAGCAGTTTTTATAACATCTTTGATGGCATAATTTAAGAATTTACTCTTAGAACTTAAATTTAAGATTTTATTTTTAGTAAAACAATATTTAGTACACTACATTATAAGAACAATGCAAACGAATTCCTCCAAGATACATCAAAAATAAGAAAAATGGAAGTACAACCTCATCTAGATTGGGGTGAATAGGTAGAAAGAACAAAATATACTGCTAAGTCAAGTCAAGTAAAATGCCTGGTTTTCCAAAAAAGATATAAACTTGGAGATTAATCTTCCCTGTGAATCTTTCAAAAACAAAATACTGAAATTTGTAATTTAACCAAAATCTTCGCTATAAGGAGCCCAAACCAAAAATTGCATAATATATATATATATATATATAAGTCCTAGACTATCTGGAGCTTAAAAAAAATTTTTTTTAGAGATCATGTTTACCTATGAATTTTGTAAATTATATCATTGTTTGACACAGTATATTCTATCTTTAATTTGCTTTATGTACTTTAGAGAAATATATCCCTAGAAACTGGGCAGCAGCTTAAAACTGGTCATCATATCAAATGTTTTTTTCTTTTTTTTTGAAAGAGAGGGTCTTGCTATGTTGCCCAGGTAGGCCTCAAATTCCTAGAGACTATTATTATCCTCATACCTCAGTTTCCCTAGTGACTGAAAACTATAAGTTTGCACCACTAAACTCAGCTGCTGAACTTTTTTTTTGGTAATAATATCCGAGATTGAGCCTAGGGGCACTTACTTTACCACCGAATTACACTCTTAGTTCTTTGTATTTCTTTCTTTCCTTCTTTTTATGAGACAGAGTCTTGCTAAGTTGCTAAGGCTATTCTCAAACTTGTGATCCTCCTGCCTCAGCCTCCCTTGTCACCGGGATTATAGACATGCAACTTTGTGCCGACTATTTTTAAAAAATTCCTGATTGTCACTATATACTCATGTGTTTTTCCTTACTTATTATATTGCTTGTATGGGTATGGGTGTGTGTGTGTTTTCTTTTTTTCTGCTGGGGATTGAACCTACCACAGAGTTATACCCCTAGCACACATTCTTAATTTAACACACCAAAGGCTAGTCTGGCTTTTATAAGGAGTCACGGCAGTTTTCCACTTTATTTATATTCCCTGCATTGTTTTTTCCTTTGTTATTTGTGTTAATAAGAATAAGCAAGATATTTTTGTAATGTTTTTAACATTACAAAGATTTTATCTTGTCTGTACTGCCTTTTCTCCCCTTGTTAGTTGGACAACCAACAGTTCTCCCTATACTAACTGAAGCTAAAAGTCACTATAACTGGAGAAACAAAGTAAAAACAGAATTAAGAGCAACTGATTTTCATAGTTTGGTGTGTACATATGGATACAAATTCATGCATATAAGCCAGGCACAATGGCATACTCCTATAATCTTAATGATTTAGGAGACTGAGGCAGGAGGACACCAAGTTTAAAGCCAGCCTCAGCAACTTAAAAGGTCATAAGCATTTAGCAAAACCAATACCCCCCCCAAAAAAAAGTGTGTTGGGGGGTGTGGGGGCTGGCAGCACCTGCTAGGGATATGGCTCAGTGGTTAAGCACCCCTGGGTTCTGTCCCTGGTACCAAAAAATAAAAAAATTCAAGCATGTGACCAATATTTCTCTTTATCTTTCAAAAACAAAAACAAAAAAAACACCATACGCATTCAATAGCCAGACTGCCAAAATGAGATTCCATAAAAAGTGCATAAATATAAAACATGATCTTAGTGAGAGTGATTACTAAGTGCCAACTTTATAATAGGCTCTATTTCTTCACTGAAATTGTATTTTGTGACACAGGAAAAACAGAGTAAATATAAAGATACCAGATATGCATTGTAGGTTTTGGAATACTAAAATCTGACAGAGAATAAACTATCATGATCTTGATATATTTTTTACTCTACGTCACATGGGGAACCCTACATATACAACATGCACATATATACATGTAAAAAAATATATGATGAGGAACATTTACTCACATTTACATCTGTATGATGTATTAAAACACAAAGGGCTGGAAGAATCTGAGGAGAGAATACACAGATATAAAAACAAATAAAAACATACATATAATAATAGTATCTAATTTACTTATTGATTTTAAAAATTTGTTTACCTCTTGAATGGTTTCCATTGGTGGTGGTGGGTCTTTGTGACGACATAAGTTGACCATAACCCAAGTAACATTTCTTAAGAATGTTATAGGAATAGATGGACTTATGAATGAAAGTAAAGGTTTCACAACTCCAAGACTTATGACATAATCTCTACACTGTGGCCCGTCACCTGTAGAAATGATTAATTTAATAAAATACATTAACAATAAGCATTTTTAGAAAACATAAAGCAACAGGTACAAATGCTCCTTTAAGTATTTTAGCCAGAATACAATTCAGTTTTATGCAAAGGTTTTAGCAATAAGACACCTAATTTCATTCTAGGTCTTTTACCTAGAGTGCTAAGGTATTCTTTTGCACATTATTTACAACTTCAGCCTTCCTTATAAGCTGTCAGTTATAAAATATATTTATGTAAGTTGAACTCTGGAAGCCTAAGTCTTTAAAAATAACTCTGTGACCCAAGAACCATTTCTTTTATTTTTCAAAAAAATCAATAGAATGCTTACTGTAACACATTTTCATCTAATGAAAAAGATATATCAACAGTTGGGCATGGTGGCACATGCCTACTAACCCAGCAACCCAGGAGGCTGAGGCAGGATTACAAATTCCAGGGGGAGGATGGGCCACCTAGCAACATCCCGTCTCAAAATAAAAATAAAAATGGTTGGAGATGTACTTCAGTGGCAGAGTGCTTGCCTAGCATATGCATGTCCTGAGTTCAATTCCCAGTAATACACTTCTCCTCCCGCCCCATATGTAAAATGCCATTAAAAAGAAAATATATGTAGAGTTCATACTTATCCACTATCAGAGAACCAAGAGTAGGGACTATAACTTATAGCTTTAGAAAACTATATCAGAAAAAAAGAGAACTAAATAGTAGTACAGTAGTGATTTCTGAGCTAAAACCCAGAAATAATAATTAAGCAGAAACTGTGGGTACAGGATTCTGTATTTTAACAAGCTCTCCATGTGATTCTGACAACACACTAAAGTTTAAGAACCAGTACTGTAGATAGCAGTCAAATTTAATTTCTATATCTATAGAGTGTCACTATAATTTCTAATATGAAGCAGTGATGAAGTATTTCCATTAAAAAAAAAAGACCTTTTCTTACACTACTATATATGGAGATAAGAAAGCAAAGGAGTAAGGATCCCTTGCATATACAAATAATGTAATTCCTATAGCAATAGTCCCTATGCTGGGAACATTTTATAGAGAAATCCTCCCATTAAAAAAAAAACAATCATAACCACGCCATTTTCCATGCTGTTCCTTTCAGAGGACAATAAAGAGGTACATTACATCATGAAGGCTATATTCCACTTTCCAAAGCCAACATCATACTGAATGGAGAAAAGCTGAAGGTATTTCCTCTAAAAATAGGAACAAAACAAGAATGCTCACTTCCTATTCAACACAGTTCTTGCTCCTACCCAGAGCAATCAAGCAAGAGAAGGAAATTAAATATAAATATGAAAAAGAATTCAATTATCTGTTTGCTGATGACAACATTCTATACTTTGAAGATCCAAAAAATTCCAGAAGACTTTTGGAGCTGATAAACAAATTATTCTGGATAATACAAGATCAACATACAAAATCAATAGCATTTACATACCACAATAATGAATCTGCTGAGAAAGAAATCAGGAGAACAATTCCATTCACAACAGTTTCAAAAATAAAAAAACAAACAAAAGGAAAAAACCCAGAACTCCCCCCCAACTCCAAAATCTTGGAAATAAATATAACCAAAGAGATACAAGACCTCTACAATGAAAATTATGGAACACTGAAGAAACAAATTGAAGATGACCTTGGAAGATGAAAAGATATCCCATGTTCTTGGCTAGGTAGAATCAATATGGAAAAATTAGTCACATTACCCAAAGTGATCTACAGATTGAATGCAATCCCCATCAAATACCAATGATTTTCTTCACAGATGTAGAAAATACAGTACTAAAATTCACATGAAAGAAAAAAAGACCTAGAACAATCAAATTAGACTATGATGCCAATAGCATAACACTGGCTGATCTCAAATTATACTACAGAGCTATAGTAACAAACCAGCATGGTATTGTCATAAAAACAGACATGAAGACCAATGGAATAAAACTTAGAAACAAGCTAACATAAATACAGTCATCTGATCCTCAACAAAGGGGCCAAAACCCTATGTTAGAGGAAAAAATAGATGCTCTCCTACTTTTGCTACAGAGGATTGAACTCAAGGGCACTTAACCATTGAGTCATACCCTCAGCCCTTTTTAAAAAATTTAAGGGTCCCTCTAAGTTGCTGGGTCTAGTTTTAAACTTGTGATCCTCCTGAGTAGCTGGGATTACAGGCATTTGCTACTACACCCGGTTGAAAAGATAGCCTTAAAAAAAAAAAAAAGCCTTTTTCTTGGTGGTGATGGGGGGCAGGGATTGAATTCAGGGGTACTTGATTGAGCCACATCCCCTATTTTGTCTTTTATCTAGAGACAGGGTCTCACTGAGATGCTCAGTACCTCACTTTTGCTGGGGCTGGCTATTTGAGCTTGTGATCCTCCTGCCTCAGTCATCTAAGTCGCTGGGAATACAGGTGTGTGCCACCACACCTGGCAATAAATAGCTTTTTAAAAAAATGATATTGGGAAAACTAGAGAACCACATGAAGAGAAATAAAACTGGATCCTTACCCCTCACCCTGTACAAAAATCAACTTCAAGTGGATAAAGATCTAGACAAAACACAGGATCATTCCAACAAATAGGCATGGGCACCAATTTCCTTAATAAGACTTCTCAAGCTCAAGAAATAAAGAACCAATAAATGGGATGGCATCAAATTAAAAAGCTTTTTTACAGCAAAAGAAACAAGAGCATAAAAAGAGTCTACAGAATGGGAGAAAACCTTTGCCAGCTAGTATTCCAATAGAGGATTAATATACAGGATATATAAAGAACTCAACCTCCCCCAATAACCCAACTGATAAATGTGCAAAATGATCTCAGACATTTCTCAAAAGAGAAAATGGCCAATATATGAAAAAATGTTCAACATTTTCAGCAATTAGGGAAGCGCAAATCAAAATCACACTGAGACTTCATCTCACTCCAGTCAAAATGGCAATCATCAAGAATACTAATAACTTCTGCATGGAAATGGAAGGAGACCCTCATTGTTATGCAAAGTTACATATAAGAGGAAGTGAGGGGAAAGGGAAAAAAAACAAGGGAGAGAAATGAATTGCAGTAGATGGGGTAGAGAGAGAAGATGGGAGGGGAGGGGAGGGGAGGAGAGATAGTAGAGGATAGGAAAGGCAACAGAATACAACAGACACTAGTATAGTATGGCAATATGTAAAAACGTGGATGTGTAACCAATGTGATTCTGCAATCTGTATACGGGGTAAAATGGGAGTTCATAATCCACTTGAATCAAATGTATGAAATATGATATATCAAGAACTATGTAATGTTTTGAACAACTAATAATAATAATCAAAAAAGAATAAGTTTTAGTCAGCCTTAAAGAATAAAATTATGCCCTGTGCTGGTAAATGGATGGAACTGGAAAGCATCTGTGAAGTTAAATAAGTCAAGAGTGGAATCTCTCTTCTCATATGTGGAAGAGAGACTAGGGAGGAAAGAGATCAAAAAATGTGTGTGTGTGTGTGTGTGTGTGTGTGTGTGTGTGTGAGCCTACGTGGGAGAT